CTGCGGCCCAGGGGTTCGCGCCACAGCGGGTGTCGCGCCCCGCGCCAAGTGAGCAAACCCCGCGCGCCCTTCCACTGCTCGGGCCTGAAGGCCTTGTCTTCCGCACACAAAGTTCCGCATGTTGGATACGTGTTACAAATTGCTGAGGTTTCGTAGCCCAAAGTAGGGCGCACTGAGACTGACGGAGCACCCCGTTCCAAAACCCCCACCCCCCCCTCCCGCGTGGCCCGGGCCCTGGGAGGGAGCAGGGGCCTCCTGAGCATGACCGTGAGCGCGCACCCCCCCCCCCCGTGCCTGCCGGGAGGTGTAATTTGCTGCCCCATTGTAATTTGGAGACCCACAGTGTCGGAACCTAGAATCCGGTGGGCTAGGGTTGGCCATGAGCTGCCTTAATAGGGCTCCTGCCCTGGGCCAGGCCTTGAATGGCCCTGCAGGATGATGGCAGCTGCCTGGGCAAGGTTTCAAAGAGGTTCCAGAGGGTAGTAACCTTAAGGGTGCTGGAGCCAGAACTCTCAGCCTGCCCCTGGACCCGGAGAAGCTGCCACCCTGGGCTGGGTTGCTTGGGATGATGGGCAGGACGGTCAGTTGCGGTATATGGAGGTGCACATTAAGTGGCAGAATAAAAGAAGTCAGATTTAGCCTTTTCATTGGATGATGCGTTGATGTGATGGCATACCGCTGGAAATGTGCAAATTCCATTTTGTTCACATATTTAATTTTGAGGTTTAGCCCAGCAAATGCAACATTATTGCAGTGAATATTTCATGAAGGTAGTATAGTTGCCCAGTAATGTAGAATTTTACTGTAGATATTGAAAATAGTTACATGACAGTTAAGGAAATGTTTTACATGTATGTTTAACTTTCCCCTTTTATAAAGAAGTCGAACATACATTCAATACAATGTAAGAATTCAAATGTATAATTCAGTGAACTTTTCACGTCTCTGTAACTCCTAGGTCAAGATGTAGAACTTTTCTAGCAAACCCTTCTTGCCTACTACTGCTAGATAGCCCTCCTAGGCTTTATGCTGATGTCTGTCACCAGAGATATTTTTGGCCTATTTGGATAGGTATGTAGTCTTTTTTGCTCAGCATTATATGTGAGATTATCCATACAGTGTGTGGATGATGTGTGTGAGATTTATCATTACAGTGTACAGTAGTGGTATAGTTTGTTGATGGTTTGTGTTTTCATTGCCTGGTATATTTTATGGTACTAATATTTGTAACATTTATCTCCGACTGTGGATGGAACATTTGGATTGTTTCCACTTTATAACTAGTGTGAATTACACTTCAAAGAAAGATTTTTAATTTGCTCTTTTTAAAGTTTATCAAATTTTATTGATTTACCATGTGTTATAAATCTGTGTCCTTTGGGGGCACCTTCACATTTCAACATGTGCACATGCTTTACCCCTCCTCCACCAAACTTGTATTGCCATTACGCTGTCACCTTTATCCCCCATCTCTTTTTTTCTCCCCTTCTCCTGTCCTCTCTCCCCTCTAGTAATCCCAGTAGTTTTCACAGAATCTAAGAGTTATCTTTGTTGTGTTTTGCCAGTTTGTTTTGTTTGGTTATTTATATTCTACAACTGAATGAAACCATCCGGTCATTGGCTTTCACTTTCTGATTAATTTTACTTCATCCTAGTTCTATCCATATTGTAACAAAGGGCACAATTTCATATTTAATAACTGAGTAGGATTCCATTCAGTCTATACACCACAGTTTCTTGACCTATCTGTCTATGTAGGTCTATATATATGTCAGTGGACTTTTAGGTGAATTGCATGTCTTAACTGTTGTGAACAATGCAACTGTGAACATAGGGTGCATAACTCTTTTCATACTAGTGTATTTGGGTAAATACCTAAAAGTGGAATCATGGGTTCTCCATTTTTACTTTTTAAAGGGACCTTCACTGTTTGCCAGAGACTGTACCAATTTGAATTCCCATCAATAGCGAATGAGAATTTCTTTTCTAAGACAATTCTTTAGGAAATTTTTGGTATAGGCACTTACTTCTCTAGAGTATACACTGAAGAGTGTCAGTGCTGGTCCTACATACTTCACATTGAGCTTTAGTACATGTTGCCTAACAGTTTTCTGAAGTTCACACTCCCACCAGCAGTGTGTGAGGGTTTGTTCTATGGCCTCCTTAGAGATGTTTGTGTGGTAGAACAGTTAATGCAAAATTCAGATTTTTGATTGAATCCGGCAAACGATTACTTTCATATATGCTTTACATGGGAAAAAACATCCTCTCACATTTTTGACATCAATTCAATGAGTTGTTAAGGGTAGGAATGCTAATCATTCTTTCAGAATGAAGTGCGTGATTATTATTATTGTAAAACGCTATATAAGATATGCACGGGGCTGGGGATATTTTTTGTTTTTTTATTTTGTTCTGTTTAATCCGCATTGACATTTTCATTCTTAAAGCCTTTGTTATCTTCATTGTTTTAAACACGGAAACCATGATAATAATGACAGTTGTTTGCAGCCTTGAAAACCAAAAGTTCATATTTAAATACTGGGCTGTAAGAGGAATTTCAGACTGGTTCCAGCTCAAAGTAGAGATGTTCTGAAATTTTTGAATTCACTGGAGTAAACTTATGAGGCTGTTCAGGAACGGATAGAAAGAACTGTGGTCAGGCAGGCCAGTTCTGAACACAGTTGAGCCTTTGGTCCTGTGGTTCCTCCAGCCAGCCTCTGGTGCCACCTGCAGGCTCTGAGAGGACAAACATTGGTGGTTGGGTTGTTACTGCAGAGTGACCGTGCTTCTCAACCTTGAGGACAGAGGTCAGTTGGGTCTTACCCCTGAAGTTCTGGGGTGGGATGGGAGGATTTTACATGTTTTAATTTATAAGAATTTTCCAGGTGCTGCTGAGGCTGCTGATGGGAGTCAGCCTTAGGAACACCTGCAGTGAGACCAGCCCTGGCAGTCCAGTGTGGGTGAGAAGTGAATAGCTTCAGGTTCAGCTTCTTTGCAGCTGGCCAGAACTCACAGGGTCAGAGGAGTGCACAGAGTATGAGGCCTGCCTTTGCGGAAGTATTTGTTGTTTTTTCCCCTGTAGACGGGAAATCAGCCCCAGTACATTATACACATTTGGGAGGAGGAGACTGCATACCTTTGGCTGAGTGAGCACCATAGCTACAGTGAAATTGGATTCATAGTAAACAAACATAATATACCTTTTCCAAAAATATTTGGTAGAAGCAGTTTTAGAAAACTTCTGGATTACTGGAAAAACTGCTGTATACTGAAAAGTGAGTTACACTAATAGGCCAGCAGAACCTTAGGGATTTATCTATGAGGCAGGTGTCAAGTCACCAAGCCTTAGGATGACACTTTTTTTCCCAACATCTGATTAATATTATTTATTGAGTTGTCTACCGTAGCATTATGTTGTATCTTGTAGAATATATTTAAAAATATTATTTAGGTCTCTTTGCCTCTTGGCTGGTCCTACACATAAGTTTTAGTTACTTATAAGAGCCCATCAATGTTTCTGCTTTTTGAAATGTAGTAGAAGTCTCCATTCCTCTTTGTGGCACTAAAAATGAGTTTAAATCATGTTTTTCTCTAGTCAAAAATCTTATAGGCCTATCAGTGGTCCTGAGTTGAGCGGACTGTAAAGGGGAACTGGGAAGAGATCCACTGAATATGGCATAAGACAATGTTTTTTGCAATTGTAGCTGAACCCTGTTACAGAGCCACCGTCAAGGGAATGTTAAAACATAAGGCAGCACTGATGTATGAGTTAAAAGGGAAAGTCAGAAATGATCTCAGGATTATTAAAAAACTCATTTGGGTCCACTTAGGCTAAAAACATTCCTTAATCAGTCCCCTGATTATACAGCTCTCAGATCTAACTGGACTTCTGATCGCATCGTCAGCTGTAGGCAAGTTTGGAGTTTTATTTATGTAGGCAAGTTTCCATTTTATTTCATGAAAGTGCATGTTAAAAAGTATTTTTGGTAGGTTGTATCTGTTATTTACTTATCCATAGTAGCATAATTCCAGATTTTGGAATGGGTAACTGTCGGAGACCAGCTCCAACTATTGAGGTGTCTGGAGGCAAGACAGGCAGGACCCTAAGGTGGGAAGGCGTCGGCGAGTGGAGATTCCTAAAAAAGGGGGAAAGGGAGAAAAAAAGGGAAAGGGGGGCGAGGAAGACACGGGAGTCAGAGTTGGGTGCAAGTCTTCCTGCTCTGCCTTCAGCAGAGGTTTATTTTATACATTAGGAGCAAGCAGTGGGATGACATCAGCATACGAACTGGGCTGAGAGATTACAATCATCTTTGTTTTTCCTAAGAACAGTTTAGAGTCGTATTGCCTTTTAGCTGAGATATAACATTCCAAAATCAATCAAGGTTAAAAACAGGTACATAAGTGCACAAAGTTTATGGCTAATATTACTATAGTGGAGATCAACTAAGATAGAAGTCCCTTAAACCTTATCTATTACTTAATGGGTTTTGTTTTTGTGCCTGAATCATCCTGGGAGACAGAAGAGGAAATTCCTTGCTAATCAAATCTCTGAATAGGAGACATAGGTGGATTTTTTTTTTATCTAAAGACTACATAGTAGAATCCTGAAAAACTAGTCAGAAGACTTGTGGATTCCTTTAAGGTGTAGCAGGTGGAAAACTTGATTAGTTTAAAAACAGGCAACCTGGATGAGTTTCCACATCTAAAGGCCAAACAATAGGAAGTTTGAGTAATTCTTTAAAAAGCTGAATAGAAGGCTAGGTGAGATAATAGAATGATAAGATTTGTGTTATCCTCCATCTGGCAGTGAGAGAGACTTTGCAAAAACAGCCCTTTTAATTTTATCAGTCAGTAGTCAAGTCACTTGACTTCAGGGGAATTTTTTTTACCCTGGTGCAGTGCTTGCTTGTCAGGGCAGGCAGGCCTTGTGCGGCCGAGGCAGTCCAATTGTAAGCTGAAAGTTGCTCAGAATATTTTGATATTATGGTTATAAAAAAAAGGGAGGTCATAACATAAGTTAGCGTGAAAAGTCTGATTTTTCAGAGCAATTCCCCTCCATCCGGACCGTGTCTGACGACAGAGGTTGCATAGCTTGTGTCAGGTAACTTTTGGGGAGTAAAGGAACCCAAGCTTGCCTGCCTTCCTTATGCATTCCAAATATAGTAAAGAACTTTTTTTTTTTTATTTGAGGTGCCATAATTATTGCACACACATTTTTTTTTAAGATTCATTATTTATGCATACAAGAATTGGGGTGTAGGCCAGAGGTATGGGGGAGAGTATTCATCAAAGACTGAGTGGGAAGTAGAACAACCAGATTAACTGAAATACACTGCTGATGGGAGCAGTGCGCCAGACAGGAGAGGTCTGCTGCCCTGTGTTTGTTAGCTGTGTGCCTCCAGTAGCTTGTTACCCCTGTGTCTTTAACCCCTGTGCCACCCTCACACATAATGTTAATCAGATTTGTCTCCAAATGAAATGCAAAAAGTAGATGTGAAAGTATTGTATGAATGTAAGCCCTAGAACTTTGTTCTACTCAAAGGATATAAAAAGTCAAATTAAAAAGGGAAAACTGACTTTCTGATTTAATGATATAAAATTTATATTGTTATTTCTCATTAGTCTTATAACATTTTATAAGCCCACAAACACTTCTTGCTTAGATAAAAGGTAAAGGTTTAAAGTATGTGGCAATTACTATAGACCTAAATGACTTTTCAGTGACCCTTAAAAAAAAAAAAAAAACTTTTCCTTCTTTACCTAAGTACACATGGTTAATCTCAGAAAAGAAGATTTAAGCAGATTTTTTGTTCTTTGTCAAAACTGTTTGTATGTATGTTTGTGTTTAGAAATATACCCTCTTGGCAGAAAGCTTCTTTACCTTCTAAAGAAAGTATTCACTTGGGAGGAACTTGCACTCAACTTGGCTGTGGCTAGAAAACCTGGCCAATTCAAATGCTGATTTTAGACAAGCTCTGAATAATTAAGCTGGGTTTCTTGGAAGAAGTGTCCTTTACTGAATAGTATCCTGCAGGCCTTGAGCAGTGTGGAGCCTCAGAGTTTTCCAG